GTTTACTTACACCGAGATGGCAGTGGTGTAGGCTGGAAAGCTTGATTAAGTTGCAGTTACAGACAAACAACACAGACGGTCTCGTGGAGGTTGCTAGGCTCCACGGTGCAGAGGTCCGGATGCTCTGGGTGAACGAGCCACCAAAATAGAAATCGTAAATACGTCTTATAAAAGTTGCGTTCGAAGACGGGAAGAGGTGGGCGGTGGATCAGGCCGCCACGCTCCTCTGGATCTCACACAGGGTTTCTATTACCCTGCCGTGTACCCAGAGTCCCCACGAGATGGATGTGGAGTCCTCTTCAGCTTGGGCGGAAACCGCTCAAGCCTCTTATACGGCTAACAGGCCAATCGTTAGCCGCCACGTGTGAATAATTTAGCACTAGCCAATCACGGGGAACGAATCTGCATACCAGTGGCGGGAACTCTTTTGCACCGTGCATTCCTCTTGCAACATGAGCAATGCACTCTGCAAAAGAAGCTGCAGAAAAGGCGGGAAACTGGTCCCTGCACCGGGGTTTCCTCTGCTATAGGAAACTCTCCCGTGCAATGCTCTGCAACTTGACGGGGATAATTCTGGTGCCGAAGCGCACACACACAATCATGCCTTTTGGGTCATGACAGAGGTGACAATGTGTGTCAAGAGAATGAATAAGATATATTTCCTGTAAAGAACTACATTTCCAAAACACAGAGATCTGAAGTGGGCTATGTATGTTATTTTAGATTTTCCATACAGCATCCAGAGATGTCATGAAAATGACCAGAGCTGCGATAAGGCCACCTCCCTTATGAATTTAATGCCTTATTTTGGGCCTACAAACTTGAAAAGTAATATGTTATAATTTATTGTATTGCAGTGCCACTAGGTACAATTTATGTCTTTATCTGTCATCCTCTCTCAAGCAAAAATCATAGAAATCATAGAGGAAAAAAAAGGGAATGTACAAGGCAAACACCACAACAAATTAGGCAAATTATACCCAACCTACTCCCAGTAATCCCAGGTCAGGAAACAGGTTGCTGCAACATGCCTCCAGGATTTAATAAAGGGTCTTGGCAAATGTTATCCAAAAACCAAAGCTAGAAGAAAAATTTTCATAGGAAAAGCATGTCAGATTCTAAGGAAAGGCTCTCCATCTCTATCTGTGCCCTACTTGTGTAATTTTGTTTGTCTTCACCACCTGCATGCACTTCCTATGTACACCTATTTCCTCCTCCTGCTCCTCTCACAGATCATCTTTCTCTTTTCTGTCTGTTTAGGGGGTCAAGCTAACAACAGGTACAGACTAGGGCTGCATCTTTTGCTTACTTCGTACTGCAGCTACCTGCTCTAGTGAGGCATTGTTTCCTTTGCTGCTGAGGCCAGCTGTCATACAGTAGTTCATTCTCTAATCAAGATGTACAAGTATAGCAGGCTCCCAAATTTCCACAGATCAGGAAACACAGAAGAGCTACTACATAGCCTTGTCTATGCCTATCTAGTTCTGCTGCCTGATGACAACCATGTACTTCTAGCACCTCCATACATGCTACAATGGAGCATCTATGACAACAGAGCATAAAGCGCATCCTGGGAAGGAAATAGCTACAGAAAAGACCAGGGCAGCATCTGCACAGTCAAAGAATGGCAGATGTCTTCTTTTGCTCAGGAGTGGTAGTATAACTTTTTCTGAAAAAGGGGGGTTCTGCAGCCTGAGAGGAGTTTTGAGTGTAGACTTAGTCAAAATGTTGCTGGCAGAACAATGCAGTGCTGAGTAGGCCCAAAATAGAGTTGTTACACAGTACTGCCATACATAATTATTTTGAAGGAAATCTCACTGGCAGCTCTCGCAGTTCCTAAACAATAGACAGTAATGAATTGATACTGGATTGGCAAGTACGGTGCACAGGCTATTAAATACTTTGAAAATGTTTTATGATTTTTGTTTTCTGAGAAAAATAGAGGACGGCACTGGGAAGCTGAGATCCATCTGATCCTCCCACAAGATTCCACACTTAGCAACAGGTCCCAATGATGCAGAGAATAAGTAGAGTAGCTAGGATTCAGGCAGGCATGTCTGTGTACTCTGACAGCAAAAGTAAATCTGTCTTTCTGATTCACTTGGAGAGGTGATACCTTTTCCAAGCAGTACTCTGGTGACAGCAGTTCAAGTTTTGTAATACTGGAAGTATTTCAGACTTGATTTTTTTAGTGAAAAAAAATGATTCCATATGAAAGGAAAACTATCGTTTAAAACAACCAAAAATAAAGTTAGTCTTTCTTTTCTGTTTGTTTGACAGAGAGAAAAAGATCCATTCAGGGACAGAGGTATAAGTCTCCCTGCTGAAGTGAGCTTGTATTCTCCATTAATAATAAGGGAGATTGAGCAGTATAAAAGTGAAAAAAAGTTGTGAAGAACCTATTCATGTTATAAGCTTTGTAAAGATTTCACATTCTACCACTCCTTGAATCATGATACCAAATTTCACATATCCAGAAAGCTGAGACAGAACTTTTATACATTAAAAAGAGAGTCTTATTGTATTTGAGAAATAGAACTTGTATTATACATAATAGAGTGAGAAGCAAATGGGGAAATCTGCTCAGGGAGAGAGGTACAACTCTCCCTTCTGAATTAACCTCCATTCTCCTTTAATGTTAGGGGAGATTGATCAGTATAAAAAAAAAAAGAGTGGAAAAAAAAGCAGTGAAGACCCCCATCACGTCACAAGCCTGGTAAAGATCTGGCACTACGCTGCTGCCTGAAGTAGGCAGGAATCATGATACTAACTTTACAAATACTAAAGCAAAAGAAAAAAAACTGAGAGAATTTATATACATTAAAGAGAGGGAAATGGAGAAATCCGTTCAGGGACAGAGGTATAAGTCTCCCTTCCAAATGATTTTCTATTCCCCTTAAATGTTAAGGAAGATAGATCAGTATAAAAAAAGTGAAAAATAAAGCAGTCAAGAACCACATCACATCACAAGCCTGGTAAAGGCCTGGCACTATGCCACTGCCTGAAGTAGGCAGGAATCATGATACTAATTTTACAGATACCAAAAAAAAAAGAAAAGTAAAAGCAAAAAAACAAAAACAAAAACAATGGAGACAGAGAATTTCTATACATTAAAGAGGAGAAAGAGAGAGAAAAGGATAAATTTGTTCAGGGACAGAGGTACAAGTCTCCCTACCAAATGAACCTCTATTCTCCTTTAACATTAAGGGAGATAGATCAGCATTAAAAAAAGTGGACAAAAAAAAGAAGTGAAGAAGTGAAGAACCTCATCAGGTCACAAGCCCAGTAAAGACCTGGCACTACCCAGCTGTCTGAAGTAAGCAGGAATTGTGATGTCAATTTTACAGATGCCAAAAAAAAAATAATCAAAAAACAAGAAAGGCAGAGAATCTGTATACACTAGAGAGGGAGACGGTCTTATTGTACTCGAAAGAGAACTTGTATGCATTGAAGACAGTCTTATTGCAGCCGAACCAGAGAACGTTCATACACGACAGAACGTTCATACATGAGAGAACGTCCGTACAGGGCAGGGGGAGAGGGGAGCGTTACTGCAGCGGAGACAGGGCACTTGTGCGCATCACAGGGGGAGCGGCAGAGCCTGAGGGTCCTTGAACGCAAGCCCTCAGGGCCGGCCGGGCCGAGGCGCCGCTTCCCGAGGGGGTCGCCCTCTGCCCCCGTCCGTCCCCGCACACGAGCGCTGACCCCGGTGCGGGGCAGGGGCAGGGGCAGGTCCGCGCCGTCGGGCCGAGGGAGGGGACTCACTGTGCGGGTCGCTCTTCTCGCGGACGCCGTCCACCCTGCCGTCGGGGTTGATGCGCAGGAAGAAGCCGCCGTTCTTGCAGTACAGCCGCTTGGGATCCTTGAAGTGGCCCGGCGGGCAGGG